CGACACAAACACCTCTACCAGACGTATGAGATGACAATTAAAATTTTTTATTTAATAAAGACATAAAAAGAATCAAGATCGACTAAGAAAAAGGTATAGTTTTGAAGTACCGGGGAGCGATAAATAACACCTCTACCAGACGAATGAGATGACAATTATTTCAAGCTCAAAAAAGACATAAAAAGAATCAAGATCGATTAAGAAACTGATATCATTCTCAAAAGAATTACCTGAGCGGACTAACACCTCTACCAGACGAATGAGATGACAATTGGAACTCTTCTTTAAGAAAGACATAAAAAGAATCAAGATCGACTAAGAAACTGAGGTTCTTGAAGTTTACCCGATATATTAATCTAATACCAACATAATAAAGATGACAATTGGAATCGTTACAAGTTAAGAAAGACATAAAAAGAATCAAGATCGACTAAAGAAACTAAGGTACCTTGAATGTATTACCGGAGCGATGGCTAACACCTCTACCAGACGTCTGAGATGACAATTGGATTATTTTGTTTATTAGAAAAGACATAAAATATAATCAAGATCGATTAAGAAACTGAGGTTTTTGAAATACCTGAGCGGTGAATATATATCTATCCAGACGTATGTCTATCAATTGACTCGTTAAAAAATCCCAGAAATACATAAAAGAATAGAAGAATCAACGTATAAACACGAAATTTTCTTTTTTTTAATGTTATATTTTGGACATGTTTATTCGTCTGTCATCTTAAATATCAGTCAATTATGTGCCATAGCCATTCGTGATCGTTAATCGATTCATGATATCTTTCGATACATGACTGACGTGGCAGATTTTTTTCCTGCAGTAGGTTGCGATTTCTTTCTGCAGTAGACCAGTTACCATCAAGGCTATAGAATCTAGATGGTCCTTTTATTTACCCATAGCTGGAGGGGAAGAAGAGGATTCATACCTTTCCCAAGGTTATTAGCACGTAAGTGAATTTAATGGATTCATCCTGGAATTGAACTCGGCCCCTCTGATTCCTCAATCCGTGTCTTAAATATACACTGTCAGTAAAAACGTATATACACGTGTACGTTGGGGAAGGGGTTAATGGCATATTTTTCTCATTCTCTAACACTCAGTAATATTGTCTTAGTGGCTTTATTGCCTTGCTTGGTCGGGAATGATTAAAATAAATCATATTTCTCCTTCGGGCGTTCACGTTACTAAAATGCGTATTGATTAATTTTTCTTTATGGTCTTTGTCCAGTTTGTTTGAAGCGACGTCTCGTACTCCAGGTATCAATCTCTCTGTTTATGAAACAGAAAGCCACAAATCTTATGCATTTACTTTATGTTTATTTTAACACTTAGAGGACTACAGAGACGATATATCGGCCGAAAAGTCGAATGATGAAAAAAAACGAAAAAAACGACTGGGACGATCCGTCGGCCCGATAATACAAGCATCGAGATTAGCTGGCTGGTCTTCTAACCAGCCAATCAGATTGCTTATCGCATTTATTACCTTTCAATGGCGGCTGACTGTGTTCTGTGATTTTTACATTGTCTTTTTAACAGGTAAGGGCATGTGAAAATGGCTCCGTCTTGAAACTGATGCTTTAAATGAGGCTCCATCTCCAAAGGATTAAATACTTAATCCCTTTAATCTGGCGAAACACATTTTTCAGATCATCTTATTCAGCTCTCTTTCTTCTATTTATACACTAGTAATTTGCTTTTCTCAGTATTATTATTATTTTTATTTTTATTATTATTATTAATACTAGCAGCATGGCCCGGCGTTGCCCGTGCTTGATTAAAAAATCATACAACTCATACAGCAATCGCTATCACTTGACTTAAAATATTTTTGCCCTTCCTTGCCTTTAAAGGAGTGCCCTTTGTCGTGCTGATGTTGCTACATGCCTTACTTCTTGCCTATCTCATACTGCAAATTTTTCTAAGCTCTATACTAAACATTAAATCTGTTACGAAAAAAGAACTAAACAAAATGAACACAAAACGATCAGCTTTAAAAAAGGACTCGTAACTGGAAAAACCGAATGAAAAAAGAATGTTAACAACAAATACTTTTTCACGTCCAACCCAATTCTGCGGAATCAGAATCAACGTTGAGTTTAAGCAAGCGAATGAGCCAATTAGAGTAAAGTGCCATGCAGATTTAAATTTTTCCCACTTGTGACGAATGCAGCTATCGATTTTTTTGCATACTAGCATGCTAGTTAACATTCGTGTCAGTCAGCTGTTGACTCTTACGCTGGCCAATAGAATCTTCCTGCCTATTCGTGGCAGCCAGCTATAGGCTCTCACTCTGGCCAGTAAAAAATGGCCACAAACTACATGAAAACTGCCGTAGAAGCATGAAATAATCGATTATTTCAACTATCGATGGGAGTTGGGAAATGCAAAGTCGGTCTTGGCCTTCCCGCTAACTTGGAGCATGTGCATGTATATTTTGGTGCAAATACGTCGAAAATTGCAGCCGTGCATTCGTTAAAAAACACACACACACATCATGCCTTTTATAGATAGAGATTATTATTATTATTATCATCATCATCATCATCAACATCATCAACAACACTGGATCGCTATCTGAGTCATAATGAAGCTTGTCAACTGGCGGGGATTTAGACGAACACGGCCAGAGGTCTATTCACTCACGATGTGATTATTTATTTAAGCAGATATTTCTCTTATATTGTATTTCTTCTTCGCATGTTCACGTCACTAAAAATAACATTGATTAATATTTTCCTTCGTCATCTTCGGCGGGAATATTTGAAGTGACGTCACGTACTCCAGCTATCAAGCTCTTTTTTTTTATCAAAGCCACTAAGCTATTTTCAATATCTTAATCCCTTTAAGATTCAAACTGATGAAAAGCTTTGTCTCGGTTTGCAAATTGTATTGTCCCTTTTTAAAATCATTTAACCACCAAGCAAGGCAATAAAGCCACTATGACACAAGAGGTTACTAATGTTAACCGTAACTTTTCGTTCGTTTATAGTGTAAACTGAGATGAATGTTTGGGTCATAGCGCATATTGGTTTTAAAAAAAATCGATGGTTTATATTAAAAAAAAAGTCTTGTGCATTTAATTTTTAAAGAATTACACTCACGGCTTTGAGTTTTCCAGTTTTCATAAAATTAAGTAAGAGAGGTATAAAAAATGTAAAAAAAAAAAACAAAAAAAAAAATAATGACTTTCTAAAAAACAAACATTTCTAAAATAATTTAATTTATTTTTGAATAAGTTCTTAAAATTTCAATAAAATACAATTATTTGATTTTTTCAAGAATTTCCAAACTAATGTGTTTTTCAAAAAGAAAACTAATGCTAAATATTATGCGACCGATGACCTAAAAAACAAAAAAACAAGATTTTCAACTTAAATTTCAAACGTTCTGGAGGGGATTAAAAACTTTAAAAAAATGATTAAAAAATACTTTGGTCTTTCCTCTTATTAATGAACTTTTTCAAGATAAAACTTTGTTTACAGTATTTACATTATTCGGACTATTGTCCTAATCTTTTTCGCCATATCTATCACACAAGTTTAAACATGGTGTTGTATTTTGGTGGCCTTCTTCAGGTGGTTGGAATGTCGAACTGAACCCTTTATTTCGCTCACTGGAATAACTGTTTCTAGTTCCATGTGCCATGTTTAATGGAATCAATATCAGTTATCTTCTGTTAATTTTCATAAGCAAAAGTTCTCCAATCATTTTATAAAAAATTTGAACTGCACAAATTTGGGTCCTGTCACTGGATCTAACCAACGACTTTATCCAAGTGCCATGTGTCCTTGAACAAAGCCGGTTAATTTTGTGTGTTTGTGTTTATATATGGGATCGGATTTCCTCATTTTTTTCAAACCGATTTCAACAAAATTCACTTTTTTTGGCAGGTGTTTTAAGGATTGTCTTCGCCATTTTTTTTTTTTATTTTTACATTCAGAACTCTTTCAAAATTCCATTTACAAGACAATTGTTTATAATAAAATTCTATTCAATCGGTAGACTCATAACAATTGAAAACAATGTTTTTGTTTTGAGTTTGATCAATTCGTAAAAAAAAAAAATAATAATTAAGATAACGAATTTGTCCATCAACCTTTAAACAATAATCTTTGTCAATTTTATTTTTCAGTCTTTATGATGGTCGATACTTGATCTATCTCTCACTGTTACATCCCCGGGCAACGCCGGGCTCTACTGCTAGTTATATAATATTTCTTTGATTATTAAAACATCAAAATTTTTATTAGTGAAAAATAGAATATTGTTGTCTTATGTCAAATAGCTATTAAGGGGTCCACCAAGAAAAAAAAAACGAAGGGGCAAATGGGACCATAGATAAAAAAAAAACACACACACACACACAAACATGAGAACCTCTTGTCAAGAAGAACACACTGAATCAACATTCCTAGCCACGGAACTAACAATTGATTCAATATAATTGTTTCACTTCATGTCAGGGGAAAAGTTTAGACCAAGAATACAATTACACTGATTAAACAAAACCATTATGTCAATCCTCATAAGGACATAGGTGACATTAGCGATTCCATTTTTTACACTTTAGGTTGATGTTCAAGGCAGGCACTTTTTCAATTCAGATTGTAAACATCAGCAAGACAGTTAAATGGATTGGAATAATAATATCAGATGAATGTTATAGAACGTATGTATTATTCATGCTGTGACGATAAACGTTGCTTGAAGCATTGATGAAAAATGGAAAAGCGCTTGGTGTCAAATGTTTTCAGTAGGAATATTTATTAGCAGTTCTTTTTTCAAGATGAATTTTTATCTGCAATATAAAATATATAATAGCGTTTTTTTTCTTTTTTTTTTTTTTATTCATCGGCTTTGGCTAAAGAGAAGAATTTCAAACAGGAAAGTACGATATAAACTGTCGAGAATGTCGAAATATAATTGATGTGTTTTGACGATGTAAAGTGTCAAAAAAGAAATAGAAGGAAATACGAAAAGATTAAGAAGAAGAGACATTGATAGAGAGATGAATATGCAAAAGACTGAAAATAGATGAGATAGATAGATAGATAGAGAGATAGATAGATAGATATGAACAGACTTAAATAGATAGATAAATAGATAGATATCAACAGACAAAAATAAATAGATAGATAGAAAGATATGAACATTTGAAATAGATAGATAGAAGATAATTAGATAGATAATAGATGATCATTGAACAGACTAGATAGATAGATAGATAAACCTCATAGATAGAATAGGATAGATAGATAGAATAGGATAAAGGTCAGAACGAAATCAAGATTGATAAATAAATTTCAGAACAGAAATAGATAAATATCTACGGGGGGTTGAGAGAGATAGATAGATAGAGCCATGAATGAATAGATAGATAGATAGATTGAACCTGAACAGAATTTTAAATGGATAAATATAAAAATAGATGGATAGATAAATCAAAGACAAATAGAACAAATAGATATAGATAGACTAAATGAAAGAACTATAATAGATAAAGAGATAAATATCTAAGGGGGTTGAGAGAGAGAGAGAGAGAGAGAGAGAGATAAATGAATATGAACAGAATGAGATAGATAGATATATAGATTGGATAATAGATAGAAAAGAATGAACAGACTGAGATAGATATCAAGATAGATAGATATATAAATAGATAGATAGATAGATAAAGTCAGAAACGTAAAGATAAAGATAAATAAATTATCTTAAAAAGGGGAGAGAGAGAGAGAGAGAGAGGAGATTAGAGGATAGGAGAAGTATAAAAAAAAGAGACCATGATAGATAGATAGATAGATACAGCTTTACCGAAATAGATGGCTGGATAGAGTTGGCGAGTTAGGGAGTATATATCTGTACATAAAGACTGCTTGAGAAATATAGACAGCTATGAAAAGATTGAAATTCAATACAGTTTTTTTTGTTTTCCGGTTTCAGTGAGAATTTCAAACGGAAAATTACGTAGTAACCTGTCGAGAATACGTGGAAATATGTGTAACGATGAAAATAGAGAAAGTGCTCAAGAAAATGGCATGAAGAGAGTGAAAGAGATTGGAGGTCAGGAGAACTATAAAAGCAAAAGTGAGAGACCAAAACAGCTTGAAACATAGATAGACAGAAAGGAAGCAATGTGTGAGAAGAGAGAGAGAGAGAGAGAGAGAGAGAGAGAGAGAGAGAGAGAGAGAGAGATATTTTAGGACAGGAGACGTATAAAAGGAAAAGAGAGAAAAAGAAAAATAGAAAAACAGATAGATAGATAGATAGATAGATAGATAGATAGGAGAGACAGAGAGAGATTATGGAATGGAAGAAGTATTAAAGGAAGAAAGAGAGAGAGAGATTTTAGGATAGAAGACGTATAAAAGGAAAAGACAGAGAGAAAAAAAGAAAATAGATAGATAGATAGATAGATAGATAGATAGATAGATAGATAGATAGATAGGAGAGACAGAGAGAGATTATGGAATGGAAGAAGTGATAAATTTTTTTTTCTTAAAGAGAGAGAGAGAGAGAGAGAAAGAGAGAGAGACAGAGAAAGAAATGACTGTGAAAGTGAATTCATGTAAGATACAGAAAGGGAGTTGGAAATAAATAGAAAAGGAAAGTGAAAGTGAAAGTGAAAGTGAAAGTCATTTTAAATATATAACATAAAGAAAGAAAGGAAGAAAGTGGGCGGTAGTGGAATTTCGAAAAAACGGACCTGGACAGAGAGATCGAAAATAAAGCAGGGAAAGAGGGGAATGAATATATATATATATATATATATATATATATATAGGCAGTAAGACGGAAGATAGAGCGAAATAAAGAAAGAGAAATCAAGAGATAATAAGATGGAGATTAGAGAGGAGACTGTCATATTATGTGAATAATAAAACAACAGATGTGGCTTTCAAGAGCATATCTTCGACACGACTTCTGGCGAAAACGACAACATATTGGTCAGCTAATGAGATCTCTCCGGAAAGCGGTGTTAGGAATTGATCGAGGAGCTTACAAGAGGGAAATGTTCGATGAAAAGTTTCGTGCAACGTTTTGCCCCAAACATGAACGGGGAAGAAATAACCAATTAACGATTCTTAGAGTCTCTAATCTCACAAAAAAGCAAAAAGAAAAAAAATAAATGAAAAAAAAAATAATGCCCTCCTCCCCAATTTCTTTCTGTCAAAAAAGTTCACTATCTATCTATCTATCTATCTATCTATCTATCTATCTATCTATCGTAGTTATTTTAGGGAAATCAATCTATCTATCGGCGGTGATTAGGGGAATCTATCTATCTATCTATCTATCTATCTATCTATCTATCTATCTATCTATCTTTCTATCTATCTATCTATCTATCTATCTATAGGTTCATTTTCTATCTATCTATCTGTTTATTTTCTGTCTATCTATCTATCTAAATATCTATCTATCTATCTATCTATCTATCTATCTATATCTCACTCTGCTCAATATCTATCTATCTATCTATC